AAAACTTTATTTCATATTTCTAAAATGCAAATCAACACAGCCAGCGTGCATGAAAAATGAGCATGCGATAGATTATACCCAGAACTCGTCTTCAGGTAGTTGGAATCAAGAAATAGGCACTCGACGCTCATTCCGGTTATCCTTTTTATTATTATACAATAACATTTATACTTTAGCAACGCTTTTTACTATAACATGGGAGCATGAGTTATTTCATATTAGAAATACGCTAGATATCTCATATTACGATTTCTACGCCTTGCTGAGTTGATTTTACGATCATCAAATCTAACTTCTGCAATTAAACAATTCAACATATCCCGTATTTTTCTATTAGTACGACCTTACTCTATCACTACATGTAGAATTTATTGCCAAATATTTATTTTTATTAAATAATAAGCAAGGTTTAAAGGCTCATCTCAATGAAACTTGAAGACATACAAATTCTAAAATCTTGTTTTACAATGACTACAGGCATGATCTAATAATGAATTTTCTAAATAGTTTTCAATAAATTTATGGTGGAACCAATAGATAGCGTTTATCAGTTTAGCAGAAACGCTGCTATATCATATTAGGCGTCCTATTTCATAATAGGGGGCTTTCCTCTAATAATAATAATAATAATAATAATAATAATAATAATAATAATAATAATAAATTTCTATTCCGAAATCTCAGATTAATTATATTTTGTTGAAATTGTTCGACAATTGAAAGCTTATGTGGACATCATATTAGAAAACTTTTATATTTTTAAATTTTTATTTTAGTTGATTTTGATTGACAGTATATTTGAAGAATTTCAGATAGAAGTTTATACTTGAAAGCTCCTCGACACAGTTGATGTAATACTATCATGTGGACAGTAAATTTTTATGTATTTGACGTCGAAATATTATCTCGTTCATCGTAGATCTAAATCTCTCATCAGAGTTTTATTTACCAATGGTTTAGAAATCTTAAAATTTTACTATTGTTTAAATAAACAGAAATATAAAATTAATTGCAAAATTAGCTGTCGCGTTCAATTCTCGCTTAAATATGGGTCAATCGAAAATCTTCAAGAATATCCATATTCGAGTTTTTAAATGAGAATAATACTTCGATATATCTTAAACTGACTTTAATAAAATAAAAACATATACTGTAATTCTATATTAATTATATATTTTGATTAAAAATGGAAAATTAACGAGAGTTATAAAATTTATGAGTAACACAATTCTCTAATTTTTACTTGCGATTCTAAAAATTTATCTTTGTTTATTCATTGTTCAACACATGACTGAGCCCCAAAATAGCTTGAATAGCTTCGTTGTTTTGCTGCCATTCGGAAAAAGCAACAACAATAAACAGCAATAACAATAATAATAATAACAATTCGTTCTCCAGAGAACACGTCGATAAACGGCGCGCATCTGCAATGTCCCGACGCCGCTCGTCGTCGGCGTCGCGTATTGACCGTGGGGATAACGATAA